GCAATGACAATAAGTCCAATAATGTAGGTATCAGTGCAGGCTAATTTTAATAAAGGGTGAACATCACAAAAATAGTGATCAATTTCATTAGGACCACAGAAAGGTAGCTGTGTAGTAAGGAGCGTCTGTACCATTGAATGTACAAACCCGCCCAGCCATGAGAGAACCACCATCCAACTGCAGACACTCTTGTTCATAATAACAGTATAATGGAGAGGCTTGCAGATCGCAATGTATCGGTCGTATGCCATCAGCGTGAGAAGGAAAATTTCAGTACAACCAAAAAAGTGAACCCCAAAGAGCTGTGCTATGCAACCAACAAAAGAGATGGTTTTCTTTTTAACCAGGAAGTCAGCTATCAGTCTAGGAGCAGTGACAGAGGAGTAACAGATATCTATGAAGGAAAGGTAACTGAGAAAGAAATACATGGGAGAAGTCAGGTGGTGACTGCTCTTGATTGTGACAATGATCAGTAGATTCCCCAGCAGAATTGCCACATAGAAGATCAAAAACAGACCAAAATAGACTTTCTGTAATTCTTGATCCTGAGTAAGTCCCAGGAGGATGAATTCAGACACATTATTTAAATTCCTCATATCTTCAAGGCTAGATAACACATTACAATATGAAATTTAAACACTTATATAAAATTGCAAATATCGTAAAGTTTTGGTTTGGTTTGGTTTAATATAGAGACAGCATTGCAAAGAATCCTTCAGCTGGATGTTCACAGTTCGTGATTCCTTCAGAGTCAAGGAATGATGTGCCCTAAAATATAATGCAAATAACCAGTTGTCAAAGATGTGTACTCAGCAAACTGAGGAAGTCAGTTTAGGAAGTACTGAAGGGCAGCAAGATTATGATCCACTGGGGAAACTTTCCTTAAAAAACAAGTTTGTGACCCAGATTAAACTAAGGTTAAAGTTAAATGTTTAAGCACAAAATACATTTCCTTGTATTTTGTATTCTTTGTATAATAACCATCACATTTGCACATTTAAGTCAATAATAGTTGATCTCCTCTATTACCTGATTGGTTGATGGTATTTCTAGTCCACAGTATCTTCCAGCACTCCCAAAATTGCCCTCCCAATTCTATTCACAGACTCTCTCTCTCTCTCTCTCTTTCTCAAGACCAGCCAGAAGTGTTTCCATGTGGGTCTTCAATGAATAAACAAATTGGCTTTGAATGCTCTGCGATTTTGCCTACTTTTCCCAACTCTGTAAGCCATAGTATCATTTCTTTACAACAAAAAGCCTAACAGAAGCCAATGACACAACCTTTCTCTCTCCTTCTCCAGCAAAAATGGTTGCTCTTACAGATTGTCTCTCTTCTCATTCAGAACTACAAAATGAAATATTTAAATGTGGCTAGGTTTTGCCATTACTTCGCTGATCCACTTAACAACCTCCCAGAAGAATTTGAATATTTCCCAATAGAAAATAAAAGCTAAATTATACACTTCTTTTTAATGTGCTGAGCTCATTTCAATCTATTTTCCAATAGTTAATTTGCATCCATTTGGAGTGAAGCCCTACAGCAGTCTTCTTCAACCTCCAGGTGTGTAGGAGTGCCCATCATCACCTGGTCACCTCCACACTTGGAGAGAACCACAGTGCCCATCATCACCTGGTCACCTCCACACTTGGAGAGAACCAAAATTGGGGAAGGATTAACCTTCGCTGAGCAAGGATGCCCTTTAGATGTTAAAGCATGCTGCCAACCGAAGAGTGAAAAGCCGGGCATTGTGTGGATGAGATAATTGTCCAACTCTTTATGAGAAAATTAGGGATGAACTATGGAGGGCACAGTTGCCCAGTTCGTTTTGTCCATATCACGGTATCCCTTTAAGCACTGTTGCAGTGCTGTGCAATGACCCCATGGGAAATGGGCTCCAACGCCAGAACGTCTGACCAGAATATTAAAGAGTGGCCTCCATAGGTATCCGTGCAGATGAGAAAGATATAACATGCAAACAAACATAGAAACTCCTCAAAGGGGATGCAGCAGGAAAGGGGATACTGGGAGTTGGTGGGAAGCAATCCTAGAAACCAACTGTCACCCTCTGACCTAAAGCTCTACTCCCACAGTCTCTGATCTTGCAGGGTCACAAAACAATCCAAGGTTCGTGGGC